ACACACACACACACACAGACACACACATCTCCACAGTGTTCATCTGCTGACGACGACTGTAAAGAACTAAAAACACACACATTTAATTTTTACACTTTTCATTTTCCTCTCAGGGAAATGAAAGTTTTGAGGGTTGGCACAAAGATCTTCACACTTAGATGATAAAATGAATATTTATCACAGTAACAATAACACATGTAAAAATTTAAACTTCAGACGAAGCTGCTCGTTTAATATTGAAATGTTTTGATTCGGAGACAAACTTCATGGAATCAGTTCCAGTTTTACGTCAACTGACGTTTAACCACAGACTGAAAATCAAGATGGACGACAGCTCATGAGACTCCGTCTCCTCCATGTTAGTCCCATGTTCCAAACCGAAGAGTCAAATTAATGTTTGTCAAAGTTGTTTTTAAGGAAGTTCTTATCACACTGATGTTTGTTTAATGACGTAAAAACAGGCTGAGACGTCATGATTGACAGCTGAGACTGACTCCTGATTGGTTTGGAGCGTGTAAGGGCGGGACCTTGAGCACTACTGCATAGACTCTGACTGCAAACGACGTCATCGCTGCGAACACGGTGACATTCACACCCCGAAACATTTTGGCTCCATTTCTGGAGGAAGTGGAGACGTGTCGTCCATCTTCGTTTACGATCTGTGTTTCTAAACAAGACGTTCTGAGTCAACAACGTTTGTTTGTAAACTCAGGTGTTCGACTTTTAACGTCTCGTTCACGAAAACCAAAAATGATGATTAGTTGTAAAGGAAAAGTTTAATTCTGGAAAAACTAACAAGAGCAGGTACACAACCGCTTTTTCTTCTTTTTCCACACAACTTTATTTATTGATGAATATCTGCAGGTGGAGATGATTTGAACAAATAAGATAAAAAAAGTGTTTCTGAAAACAAATCCCCGACCTTCAGGAACTGAAGTTAACAGTTACCATCATCAGTTCTTCTCTAAATTCTTTCTTTTCAATGAGGCGATTTGTCCTCTGACCTGTGAATTCAAACAATCACAAGACTGAAAGACTTTGAATTTTAAACAAACCATCAATTATTTTTCCGCCACTGAGCAGATTAAACATTTTGTTGTTTTTGAAGTGAATAAAATTATCGAATAATGTTTTTTTTGGTCCATGTTCATTTAAAGAAAAGTTCGTTTTAATGTGAGTTTGCAGTAAATTGAATTTTGTTTTCACGCAAACTGACGAGCGTCCCTGACCTGCTGCGACTGTTTCATGGCAGATTTTTTTTTTCCTCTAAACTCTGTAACGAGGTTGATAACTGATTGACACACACACACACACACACACACACACACACACACAC